GGATTGGGGACGGTGAAGCCCTTTTCTCAGCTTTTCCTAACATGTCTAACCATAGTACTACGTACGTTGTGTGATAGTAATATTGTAATGTAGTCAAAACCAAACCCTTATCAGAATTTAATTATTTATATAATTAAATTAATTATATAAGTAATTAAATATTACTGATAAATTCGCTGCATTATATATGATTGATAAGATTGAGGAAAGAGAGAATATATGAAGAAGTCATAATAAATAAAAATAAAAATGTAATCTATAGATTTATGGGGAATTCAAACAGAAAATAGAAATGTGGTATTTAATAGAAACCCTAGGATAGAATCACATCATGTAGGTACTGGAGAAAAATTCTTATAGAAGATAGCATTTAAAGGCAAGATAAGGAATTCAATGATGAGTTAAATTGAGAGCAAATGGAGATTAGTTGATGGTATTCTTCAATTATATTAGTTACTGATAGATTAAAAAGGAATTCATCCGTATAGATAAAATATGGAGGATGCTGAAGATATTGTCTGTAGAATTATTATATCATGTTGGAACCAAATGGAAGAGAATCAAGAACTACAAAAGATGTATGACAGAGAAGCAAGCCTTTATATAAGCTTAATATTTCAAGACAGAGCAAGAAAAATCAAAGAATTTGAAAAGTAGTTGGATTATAAGTTGATAAAACCAAATGATATTATAGTAAAGTCTATTATAATTATATTATCGATAAAATGAAATGTATAAATACAGTACTGGCTAATGAAACCATCCTAATTTTGCTTGGTTTAAATAACAATAGCAAATTATTCACATAAAGTGTCATTCAATTTCATTTTCAATAGCAATTAGAATAAAGAAAATCAAAAAAGTTAAAATAAAAGAATTAATTAAATCTAATAATATTTTTAATGAAGAAAAAAAAATCAGAGACCTATTTCTGTAAACAAGACTCGTTTGAAGATTTTTTCTAATTACTTTTTGGTTTTTTAACAAAAAAATATTGATATTTACATTATATTTCTAATTATTTAATATAAATGGACATAAAAGATTTTAAAAATAAATTTAAAATATGATTAAATATGTAAAAACATTAACAATTTGAACAAACTCAAAAAATCAATTTTACAGAGAGTTTGATCCATATTCAATCGAAAATTAAGATTTTTCTAAATTA